TCTTCTGCTAAAGATTGCAGCCTCCTTCTCCCAAGGGCCAAATCAGGTTAACCTGCTGGACACCTTGCATAGCTGCCTTTTCCTTCCCACTCCTGCTGCTGCTGTCCAGCTGAGGCCACCATCTCTCCCTGCCCAGACCTTCAGAGTAATCCCCTTGGTGGTCTGCCCATCTGCAAGATTGCCTCTTGGATCCACTTTCCACAACTGTTTGTCTTAATGATCTTCTCTAAGCACAGCTCTGCATCATTGCCCAACCTCATGCAGGGGCTGGGCATTCCACACCCTCCCGGATGTGGCCTCAACCTCCTTTTGTGATTTTTGTTTTTCTATGTCCCTCAATCACATCCCCTGTTCCAGCCATGCCCACCTCTCTGTGTGAAGGTAGGAAGGGCAGACTTCAAAGGTGGAAATGACAGAGCAGCCTCATGGTCAGAGACATAAGGCTGGGTCTCAGTGCAGAGCGGAGGCTGGCCTGGCTGACCAGGCTAGCAAACCCCACTGGAGCAGTATTCCTCAGTGACACACTGCAATTCTTAGAGTCCTGGGGAGGCACATTTATGCCCCTTCTCAGTCTCAGGGAAGAAGGGGGTGGCTATAGACCAGAGTGCATGCTATGGAATCCTTTTCTCCCACCCCAGCATGGCACACAGCCAGACTACCATGGTTCCCAGGAGGGTCAGCAAGGAGCACAGTGACAGGGAGATGGGGAGTAAGATGAAGGAGGAGAGAAGCAGCCAGAGGACAGCCAGGGAAAGAACAGGAAGACCTGGTGTTGCTAGTTATTATATGAGTTACCCTGAGCAAATTCTCCACTGCTCTGTTTCCTCAACCACATAATGGCAAAATAATAACACTTTATGGTTGCAAAAAACATTTCAAAAGCATTTCCTAATATTTCACTAGCCATGATGGAAATGAGATTGGAAAAGTAGTAAGTAAAATACATAGTAGGCTAATTCCACTAGCCTCCTAGCTGGTCTCCCCTTCCACCCTTGCCTCTGGCCTATGGTCAAAACGGTAGCCAAGGAGAGCTGATTAAAATACAACCAGACCACATCACTGCTCTTCTCCCCAAGCTGTCGGCACCCAGCCCCCTGCCTGCTTTGTGGTCCTCTGGTACACTCTCACCATCCACACACTCCACTTTGTACTTCAGTCTATTTATTCAGTTTACTGTCTGCCTCTCTCTAACTTGAATGTAAGTTCCATGAGGATGGGATTTTCATTGTTTTGTTCACTGCTGTGAACAGTCTTTGGCATACAAAAGGGCCCAATACATGTTTGTTAAATGAACAAATGATTTCTATGTTGGTTACTGCAGGCATATGCCAAGGCTGAACCGACTGGAGGCCCAGCAGTACCAGGCCTGGGACTTGCCAGAGCAAATGGGCTTCACTGATAGCGAAATACATTTTGAATATTGCTGTACACAAGGCTCCATGCAAATGAGGTGCTAGGCTTGGATCAGCCTAAGCTACTGCTGGACCCTGTCCTCAGGGGCTTCACAGACATATAACAACAGAGCAAGGGAGCATATATCACAACTCAAATTAGCACAGCCACATAATACACTACAAGAGTTCCAGTGTAGGAGGTGGGAGGCTGGGGCAAGGGCATTAGTAAGAACATGAAGGAATTGTTCTCAATTTTAGACATTGCAATCTGAATCTCATAAATGATTGCTTCCTTAGTGCTCTGAGGAAAATTATTCAGAATGAATAAGCTTGCCAGTTCTGTCATGTTAATAGCATCTATTTTCTTCCCCCAAAATTCTTAAGCTGGGAATCAGAGTTTTCAAATGACTGAAAAAAAAGCACAACGAGTCTGGACAGAAAGATTCAGCTTTATGCTGTGAATAGAGTGAGGGTTCCACGAGCACTTTACTGACATCATACATGATACAATCATTATTAGCTCACATGATCAGAATGCTCTGACACAGAATTCTCATACATGGTGATTCTGCTTGTGGACAGAATTCCCAGTTGAAGCACAAAACTTCTTCCCTTGGAATTTCTGCCTGTTAAACTAATTGAAAATCAGGATATGGGGCACAAAACAAAATGATTAATCCTTGACATATCCTTTAAAAAAATTGGATAATGCTCTGGAGGCTGGTATTTACCTAGATAGAAGATGTCATCAAAACACTTGAATCAACTTAAACTCTAAATTATAGGCCAGACAGTAAGCAGAACAGAGAAAGACCATGAGAAACCTTATTTCATAAGAAAATATTAATTTCTTCAGAATCAACTTATTCAGATTTACCTTAAAATAGCATTTATTAGAATGCCTATTACATGACAGCCACACAAGAGGGTAGTTTCACATTATCTTAATCAGCTCTAATAAAAAATGAGGTAATAACTAGTATCCCAATTTTCCAGATGAGGAAATTCAGGATCCCAGAGAATAAGGGATTTGTCTAAGTGGCAGAGCCTGGTAGTGACAGAATTCAAAACCAGGGCTCTTAACTCCAGGATCTGCGGTCTCTCTACTACACTAGAGAAGCAGGGAAAAAGCCCATAACAGTTATAATGAAAGCAATGAAAATTGTTCCTAATGATATTTTAGTATATCATCTGGAAATCCCAGATATTCTTTCCAAGACCTGGTAGGGTTTCACAGAAATTAACAAAGATGGTCACTTAACTATTCAATCCCTTTATCTTTGAATAATAATTTGAGAAAATATTTAGCTATTATGAACCCCTTTTCCATGAAAAGAGTTCACTTTCACACATAATAAAAATAACCTTTAATTGCATGACTCTTACATGCTCTGTCTTAAAAAATCAGAGGCTTTAAGGTGGCTCATAAAAACCTTTGACTCTCATTTTAATAATCAAAATATTTTAAAGTGTTAGGGCTGCTGAAGTATAGCAGGGACCAAGCATTTCAATGGCTGTAATCAGAAGATGACATGTTGTCGGGGTAGTTAACACATTTAGTTTTTCCTTCTTTAAGATCCACATGATAAAAGGTCCAGAAAGGAGGCTGCATGAGAATGTTTGTGATTTTCTGTATCAAACAAGACCATTATAAAAATAAACTTACTATCATGACCAAGTGAGGGTTTATGAATAGACCCAGAATTTCTGTTATAAGTTGGCTGGAATTTCATTCCTGGTTAAACAAATGAGCCAGTGTAGACTGCCCAAAACACAGGTATGATTTCCATCCAGGCTCAGTGCTCTGAAGAAAAAGAAAAAGAGAAGGCTCCTAAGAAGGGCCTGTGGACACATTGTGGATGGTCTGGGCTTGACAATTCTCAGACCAGGAGGAGAAACACTTGCTCCTAGAGGAGTAAATGTCCAGGAAGACTTCACCTGGGCACTTAAAATTCCTATGTGCTAGTTTTTCCTTTCTGGAGAAAAGTATCTCAGTCAAGCTCCTGGGGCTCATCCACATTGAAACTGCAGGAAAGTGCCTTTTTGACACCAAAGACCATACCTACAAAATGGGTATGTAATCCTCCTTGATCCTGAAGATGTATTTATGCAACAGGTTCCAAAAGCCAGGAACAACTGCTCGAAATCTTTTCCAAACCAGCCTCCAGTGAATTGGTGGAGTCAACAATGGTGTGCAACACTTGATTAACAAGTGAGCATCTCTAGAGAACTCCATGGATGAAAAGGCAGGATTATTCCATTTCTACACGGAAGCAGGAGAGAAATGCCAGCCTATGGTTACCCTGAAACTGTCCTTATAAAGGGATTTAACAATTAATTCTGGGCTCCTATCTCTAGGAAAGTAAGTCAAGACCATCTCATCTATTTGACTACAGGAAAATCACTTTCTTTGTGGCATCTGTTATTTATATGTAATGAAGTAGGATAAACCTTCCCTAAAAACATCCTAAGCCACTTGGCCCTTATTGGGGGAAACAGAGGTAAGTTGACCAAACCTGCTTCTCTACTTCTCTTCTTCCCTCCCACAAATGGCCTCTGCTAAGACAATTCTGAGGTGTTATTTATTTACTAGAAACTTGAGTTCACTTTGCACAAGATTCTGGAAAAGCAGATGCGACCCTGAGGATCCCTTTCCAGCAAACCCAGCTTCTGTCTCCAAAGGGAAGGTAGAAGGCAGGACTTCAAAGGAGTCTCATCCCTTGGGTGACCCAACCTGTGCCAGCTCCTGGAGGAAAGGAGACAGACAGACATAGCTCCAAGCCAAAGCCGAGCATCCCGGAGCCCAAGTTGTAAAACAAACAAGCTGGCAAAAATTCAGAGTCTAAAAAGGAAGACTACACACCTCTGAGCAATGGCTCTGACATCCACCTAGTCCGGCGATCTGTCAGAATGAATCACTTAAATACACCCTTGTTTAAAAACAAGTAAATTGACTTAAAAATTGTTTTCAGTAGAAAAACAATGTGAGGAGCATGGAAGCTCAGAGAGGCTATTTCAGCTCTTTAGCAGGGTGGGAAAGGGTGAAATCTTGGGTTCTTTTAGCTGAATTCCCCCATGACCTCCAATGGGCCCAAGCTGCACGTCCCTGCATCTGGCAGGAACCTGGCCCAGGGTGAAGGAGAACAACATCCCCACCCCATCTCCTCCCGGGGGCCTGGCCATCCCCGAGGCTGAGGTGTCTCTTCCAGACCAACCGAGAGCCACACTCATCTCTGTCCTGGCAGCATGGTCCAGGGAAAAAAAGGGTGGAGTAGGTAAGATTTAAAAAATATTACACCATGCTCGCTTCCAAACGGGTAGAACCCAGAGCTACTTGCTTCCCTTTCCCCTTCCCAAAAACCCTTTGACCATTCTGGGCAAAGCAGGGACCTGCCGCTCGTGGGGCACCCAAATGGGAGTCCCCGAGTAGCTTTGTTCTTCGCGCAGAAATCAACACCCTCCGGGAAAGCCCCGCGCGGGGTCCGAGGCTGAGGAGGCGCCGGGGAAGCCCGACCCCGCGTTGCCCACCTCGCACCCGCCCGCCCGCAGCCTGGGCGCTGGAAGCGCGTGAGGGAGCGCGCGCCTCGCACCCGCCACGCCGCTCACCTAGCACCACTGCGGCCAGGGTGGCGAGCAGCAGCCAGTTATTCTTCAGAAAGCGCCTGCAGTCGCATCCCTTCCTCGCCGGCTTCCCCATGGCGGGCGCCGGGGTTCGGAGCCGCGGCGGCGGCAGCTATTGTGTGCGGGGGCCGGGGACCCGGGGCGGCGGCGGCCCGGCAGCGCGTGGAGGCGGGATGCGTGCGCGCGAGGCACAGGGTGCGTACTGGCTGCTGTAGCCGCTGCTGTCACTGCTGTCACCGCCGCCGCCGCCACCTGAGACCGCGCGCCGCGTCCGCCGCCCGTGCCAGCTCGGTGACTGAGTGGCGGGCGCGCCGGCTCCTCCTGCTGCCGCGGCGCTGTGCGGCGAGGGCCAACCAGCGAGGACAGAGGGAGGAGCGGCGACCCCGGGAGGCGGGCTGTGGCTGCGTGCGTGTGCGCCGGGGGTCCCTGGGCGGCGGGCGTGGGAGGGCGCCCGGCGATGCGGCTGCCGCTGAGCAGCTGCTTTGGGAACCCTGCGCCAGCCCCAGCCCTCAACCGTAGTCTCGCTTTTCTGTGTGTTTTTGGTCAGGTAGGTTTTCGGATTTAGGGTTTCCTGCTCTCCCTAATCCAAGCCCCTGGCCCCTTTGTCTTGGACTTCACTCTGCACACCTGCGCCCCTCCCTGCTTTCCACAGCAGCCATTCCCAGCGGGGCCCTGGAGAACGCGGGGCCCCGGAGAACGCGGGGCCCCTTCCAGTTCTGTGTCCCCTTCGCTCCACCACGCAGCTTCGGGTTGGCCCGCAGTCCACAAAGCCCGCAAGACTCTAGGAGGAGGGAAAGAAAGTGCTGAAGGGCAGAACAGAACTTTGTGAACTTTCACACGAGGCCTCTAATCCTCCCCACAGGCGTTGAATCTCCTCTGAGTCTCAAGAGGTGAAGCCCCAACAGGATTGTCCGTGGGTGGACACAGGGGCTTAGAATGGGCCCCCTGAGAACTTCACTTCTGCTCTTTGTGACTGGCTCTGCGCCTCCCAGACGCCCCCAAACTGTGAGACTTGTCAGAGTAATTAGAACTGAGAACTCGACTAAGTTGTTCTAGAAGGTGGGAGGGCCAAATGCGTTGGAAAGGCAAACACGGGAGAGTTGGAGAAACTAGGTAAGTGGTGCCAAATACGCCATGTGAATTTTCTAATTCTCTCCCATTCTTCTGTCCATTTTTTGCACCCTTGCTTATACAGACCGTTTCCTTCCCTTTACCACATCACCACCTCCACAGCTCTGGGCTGCCTTCTCGTCAGCTTTCCTGACATTAAGTGAGCCCTGTACCTTTCTGCTAGTGTGAAGTCTATGCTTTGATTGGAGAGGGTTGGGGATCTCCCCAGCTAGTTTTTCTGATGACCAAAACCCCACAATTATCGCTTCATTCTTTTGGCTTCAATTGCTATAGTATCCTTGAAGAGATTTAAAAAAAATTAAGCTTTATGAACCATGTACACCTTAGTGTGAATGAGTTTATCAGCTCCTTTCCAGCAGATACATTTTGAGGGAAGGAAGGCTAGAGGAATTGCAAGGTCATTGTGTGTCTGAGGAAAATCTGAAGAAATATCGGAAGGGAAACTATCAGGAAAGAGGGGACCAACATACTCACCCAGCAGTAAAAAAGCTGGAAATAGTGAGATGCCCAACTTAAAAGGATTGGTAACGATATTATGGAAATATCATGCAACAGTACATTATGCAGCCTATATAAAGGAAGTTTATAAAATTTCCACTAGCATGGAATAGCCCATGTTACAATATTATCAGTGAAAAAAGGAAGATTAAAATTGTGTTTACAATTTGATCACAACTGTGTAAAACTAACATATAAAACAAAACCATGTACTTAGAAAAAATCTAGAAAGGAAATAGTACACCAAAATTTTAATAATGGTTCTGTTTGGGTAATAATATCATGTTTGAATCTTTTTTCTGTCTTCCTGTATTTTCTGAAGTGTTTGTCATAAGCATACCCATGCCCAATACAGTTGCCAAGAGAGCTGTATTTAAGAAATAGGCCCTAAAGAAAGAAAAAAGTGGAAGAACCTTAGATGAATTTTGTGTATCACAACTACTTGAGGTATAGTGAGACAAGTGCACCTGGGCTTCGCGGGTAGGCTATTTGGGTTTAAATCTCAGCATCACACAGCTGGGTGACCTTAGGCAAATTACTTAATTTTCTTGTGTCTCGGTTTCTGTTAATGCCCTCAGTAAAATGGGGGCATTACTCATGGGGCTATTGTAAAAATTGAATACAATAATCGGTGTAAAAGAACAGTGCCTGGCACACTACAAGTGTCATCACTAGTTTTACTTGGACTCAAACTGGGCAGGCATCTTCTCTCTCTTGTTGCCGGCCTGTCATGAACACACCTGAAACGATTTCAGACCTATAAGAACCTTTGCATATTGATCAACAGTAATTGTCCGTTCTAATTGCGACGGACCTAAAATCTGTTGTCACACCTAAAGCCCATAGAGTGCATGCTCCTTTTATGCTTAACTTAAATTAAGCAAGTTTAAAATAATGCGATGTAGAAAGATGAATGAAGTCTAATTATATACTCTCATTTTTGAAATACTTAAAATCTCCTAATAAAAGTAAAGAATCTTACAAGTTCAAAATGGGTAGGCCAAGTGAATGAATTATGAACTGTTTATGCTATTGCCACATGGAAGTTCTACTTTATCTGGTAATGAAAAGTAAGTAATAAACGAACATTTATAATGCACTGATCATGTGCGAGGTACCTTTCTAACCACTTCACACATATTAGTTCCTTTCCTCCTTAATGAGGTAAGGGCTGTTGTTACCTTATAAGGCAGTTGGAAGAATCGAATGAGATACTGTGTATCATCATCTTCTTCATTTTATAGCTGAGGAGTCTGTAGCAAAAAAAGTTTAAGTAACTTGCTTAAGTTCCCTCCATTAATAAGAGAAGAATCAAGGATTGAACTAGGTGGTCTGACTCAAGCTAAGTGCACAAACACAAATGCTAAATGCTTTATATCATCACCTCTTTTATGAAGAACAAATACAGAATTGTTATAGGAAATAACTGTTGAATTATGTGAATTTTATTTTGTTTATTCTTCCATATCCAGGAGACACTATGGTGCTCTGAAGTGCTGTGCTCAGGTGGAGACTTGCATGCATTTTATGGGCAGTGGTTGGGCTCTTGAATTCACTCTGTTACTGCTGCTGGCACCCAACTCTATGTGATTTCTCTGCCTAAGGAATGGCATAGGAAGCATCCCTTTGTGGACAGGGGAGATCAGAGACCCTTTGTGCATAAGTTCTATTCTTTTTTACTTTTTTTGCCTGTGATAGTGATGGACACAAGTGATCTCATTGGACAAGAGTTGAGGCATTTCCCTTGTAAGCTCCACCCGAGGGAAACTTGACCACTCAAGTTTCTGAAACAAAAAGGTCTTATCTTCTTACAGCCAAGTGGAAAGAATTAGGTTTTTTTCTCCTCCAATAGATGTGAACATCTCCCGTTTTTCAGGTCCCTCAAATTCTTTCATCCTGCTGAAATAAACCTTTGGCCAACTCTTACCTGATTACATTTTTCCAGGGTGCTATCTGTTCCTGTTTTTTGTTTGAATGTTGCAGTAACACTGGCATTTCCATCATTATTCTTTTTCTTTCTTTACTTGTTGACTCACAGACTCTCTTGTTAGTTATTAAAGAAAGGAGACTTTGACTTTGCCACACAAGGTTAAACCAGGAGGTGACAACCTGGCCTTATATATTAATTGGGATAGAAATGAAAAAAGGCATTCAGAAACAGAAAGTAAGTCATCAGCCTCTGAGCATCTCTAGAAATAGTATGTTGGTTGGATTCTGCCATCATAAAACATATGCAGTTGGCTGCTTTATTCTCAAGCTGTGGTCCTGGGGAGAAGGAGGTCATGGGGTGCCAGCCTCCTTCAGCATCTAAAGCTGTGCAGCCATTCATGACTGATGGATGGTAAGGAGAATGCTCTCAGGATATTCAGATACCCTTTTTAGCAATCGTGTCTTTATCTTTCAAACTTGATCTTTCAAACTTTATCTCACAATTATAAATGAAAGAGTAAACAAACTGTAATTTATTAAATCTTCATGATGATTCTCCAAGCAATATTTTATAAAGATGATTTGGCCTAAACAGACATATATTAATTAGATGACCTTGAACTCTTGGATTCAATAGAACATGGCCCCAGCATTTTATTGCTCACTCTGACCAAGAATAATTCCAATTCATTTCGGAATATGAAAAAAAAGTTACCTGCTTCAGAGATGCTGTGTGTCCTTCAACAAGTCATTTAACCTTTCTGAACCCCAGTTTCCTCATCTGAAGATGCCTTTTAAAGTAATAAATACAAATGGCCAGTAACATATTTGAAAGATGAAAAAAATTTCACTAGTACTCAAGGAAATGAAAATTCAAACCAATATTTATCAGCTGAACAAAGATATTTAAAAAAAATATTTTTAAGTTAACAATTGTAATATGTATAATTATAACATCATAAATTGTAACTTAAAGACGGTATGGAGAAATGGGCACTGTCATTACTATGAAACCTATAAAATGCTATGACTCTTCTGAGTGTTAGGCAATTTGTAACATTTCCCGTCAGAATTGTTTGTATTCTTTAACCCAACCATCTACCTGTAGAAATTTAAACTAAAAAAAAGGGCTGTTCATCACATATTATTAAAAATAACTGTCTAGTGACTGTAATGGGATATGTGGTGGGGACTTGAAAATGGGGGAATCTAGTAACCACAATGTTGCTCATGTGATTGTACATTAATGATACCAAAAAAAAATTAAAAGTAAAATTAAAAGTAAAAAAAAAATTAAAACAAAACAAGCAAACAAAAAATTACTATCTAGTCAAGTGGATTAGTTAAAGACTGATCAAGTGTTTTAAAATACACTGGACAATGGAATGCCACTCAGGGATTAAAAGGCATATTTTAGCAGATTGGGTTATATAGGAAAATGGTAAGCACATACACACAATTATACTTTGAAATGGCAAGATAGTTGTAAAACAGCAGGTGGGTTGATTTTTACAATAA